TTCTATGATTCTATGCTGCATATTAGGGCTGTCAATTAATCGTAGTTAACTCAAGCGATTAACTCAAAACAAATTAACTAGATTAAAAAAATAATTGCCATTAAACAATAAGAGAATACCAATTGAAATTTATTATGAATATTTTGGATGTTTTTCTATATTTTCAAATATATTGATTTCAGTTTCAACACAGAATATAAAGTGTACAGTGCTCACTTTATATTATTTTTTATTACAAATATTTGCACTGTAAAAAAGATGTACAAAAGAAATAGAATGTTTAAGTTTATCTCATACAAGTACTGTAGTGAAATCTCTTTATTGTGAGAGTTCAACTTACAAACGTAGATTTTTTTTTTGTTACATAACTGCACTCAAAAACAAAACTATGTAAACTTTGGAGCCTACAATCCATTCAGTCCTACTTCTTGTTCAGCCAATCACTAAGACAAACAAGTTTGTTTACATTTATCGGAATTAATGCTGCCCACTTTTTATTTACAGTGTCACCTGAAAGTGAGACCAGCGTTCACTTGGCACTTTTGTAGCCGGCATTGCAAGGTATTTACGTGCCAGATGTGCTAAACATTCGTATGCCTCCTCACGCTTAGGCCACCATTCTAGAGGACATGCTTCCACGTTGCTGACGCTTGTTAAAAAATTAATGCATTACTTAAATTTGTGACTGAACTTCTTGGGGGAGAATTGTATGTCTCCTGCTCTGTGGTTTTACCCGCATCCTGCCATATATTTTGTGTTATGGCAGTCTCAGATGACGACCCAGCACATGTTCTTTGATTTAAGAACACTTTCCTTGCAGATTTGACAAAACACAGAGAAGATACCAATGTGAGATTTCCAAAAATAGCTACAGCACTCGACCCAAGGTTTAAGAATCTGAAGTGCCTTCCAAAATCTGAGAGGGCGAGATGTGGAACATGCGGTCAGAAGTCTTAAAAAAGCAACATTCTGATGCAGAAACTACAAAACATGAACCACCAAAAAAGAAAATCAACCTTTTGTTCGTGGCATCTGACTCACATGATGAAAATGAACGTGCGTCAGTCCGCACTGCTCTTTGGAATTCTGGTTGAAGCATGAAGAGACATTCAAACGTTTAGCATATCTGGCATGTAAATACCTTGCAACGCCAGCTACAACAGTGCCATGCAAACGCCTGTTCTCAGTTTCAGGTGACATTGTAAATAAGAAGCGGGCAATATTATCTCTCGTAAATGTAAACAAACTTGTTTGTCTTAGCGATTGGCTGAACAAGAAGTTAGGACTCGGTGGACTTGTAGGCTCTAAAGTTTTACATTATTTTATTTTTGAATGCAGTTACGTAAAAAAAATTTCTAGATTTGTAAGTTGCACTTTCACGATAAAGAGATTGCACTACAGTACTTATGAGGTGAATTGAAAATTTTATTTTGTTTATCTTTTTTACAGTGCATATATTTGTAATCAATAATAATAGAAAGTGAGCACTGTACACTTTGTACTGTGTTGTAATTGAAATCAATATATTTGAAAATCTAGAAAACATCCAAAAATATTTAAATAAATAGTATCTATTATTATTTAACAATGTGATTAAAACTGCAATTAATCATGATTAATATATGCAGTAGGACTGTCAAACGATTACAAAAATTAATCTCACTTATAACATCTGTACCCCATATTATAAAGTGATATTAAGTGTTTGCATTATAATCCTCTGTGATTGTGTAAGCCATCAAACAGGAAAGGAGCATTAATTATTGTAAAATGCTGGCTTCCTACAGAGGGTGTTAGGTCCTGCCCACCAAGAAGGCCTATTGAAATAAAATGAGACCTTGTGAAACATCAAAGAACAAAGACTTTAATTGTCTTCCACTGCACTCCCTCAAGAGGAGACAAGCGGGTGAACTCATCCCATCCGCTTGAACTCTGGGGGGAAAGAAGATAAAAATCCTGACACGTTTTCTAAGCATAAGGATAGGATCCCCAGCTGCTTAGCCTAGGTTAGCTCTGAAGAACATATAGAGCTTGCATATTACAGGTGCTTCTATCACCTTTTGGAACCTAAGACTGTAACTCATTTATGTATGTATGTTTACCTGCTTTAACCTTGTAAATAACCTTTTCCTTAGTTAATAAATCTTTCGTGTATATTATAGGATTGGCTACAAGCATTGTCTTTGGTGTAAAATCTAAAGTGCAATTGACTTGTGGTACGTGACTGGTCCTTTGGGATTGGGAGTAACCTGAATATTGTTGTGAGTTTCTGGTGTAAGGGACCATCTATCACAGAGGCAAGCATGCGTAGGTGGCAAGATAGACTGGAGTACCCAAGGGGACTGTCTGTGACTCTGTTGTTAAGCTGTTATAGTGTCTGAGGAGTTTACACCTGATACTTGGTTGGTGAAATTTAAGTATAGAACTCACAATCAGTAAGGGGTTTGTGCCCTGTTTCTTAATAGTCTGCTCTGAAGTTGGTACTCAGGCTCTTACCAACCCAGACAGTTTGACATCTTCCTGAGGTGACATATGAATATATGTCAATATGGGGATAGTTGAAATCCCCCATTATTATTGGGTTTTCTGTTTTTGTAGCCTCTCTAATCTCCCTGAGCATTTCACAGTCACCATCACCATCCTGGTCAGGTGGTCAGTAATATATTCCTACTGCTATACTCTTACTGTATGTATCTTCACCACTGTGCTCCTTTCCCTTCAACCTTTGTCTGCCCCACGTCTGGGCTCTGTGGGGAGGGGAGGGCTGGTGTATGGGCTGGTGGCTGCCCCGTAGCTGGGCTCTGGGGAGGAGGGCTGGGAGCTGCCCCATGGGAGGGAGAGCTGGTGTTTGGGCCAGGGGGTGCCCCATGGCTTGGCTCTGGGGGAAAAGGGGTACAGGTGTCTGGGCCAGGGGGTGCCCTGCAGCTGGGCTGTGGGGGGATGGGAGTGTGGGTATCTGGGGGCCCCACACAGCCCCCTCCAGCACTCCCCAACTGGAACTGGTTTGTTAGGGGTTTCTTTAACTCTCTACTCCTGGAGGAATCTTTTTTGCTGTTGTCTATATTGTTAACATACTTGTTGGCAGGTATTTTGAAATAAATTACCAAAATAATTGAAACTGGGGTGATTCTATTGTGTTATTTTGACAAAATATGCAGAATTTTTAATTTTTTTTGACACAGAATTCCCCCAGGAGTCACTGTGACAATAAGGAGCCAGACAAGAAAGACAAAGCTTGAGCAGCCAGTAAGGGGGTGCGGGTGCAGGCTAAAGATGGTGGCATCGTTTTGTCTTTGTCTGTCATCCTCTTGTCATCCCAGATGATGGAGTAGGGGATAATGGTTCCTTCATTTCTCCCACTTCCCCCAACAGAGTCCTGATGGCTAGTTGCTACAAAGTCCACTGTGCTCTGAGCAAAAAGCTTTCCTCTTATGACTAGTACCCAGCTTGCTCAGCGAACTCACCTGCACACCACACCAAGTTCACAGATGCCTTTGGCAAAGAACTTTTTGGCATCCCACCCTCAATCTTGGAGTCAGAAGGAGAAAATAGCCAACAATATGGACAATTTAAAAATAAACCCTGTACATAAGTTTGTCTTTAGCCTGTGAAGCCTTTATGGGAGGGATTGTCTCTTTTCTGTATTTGTACAGTGCCCAGCACAACTGGACCTAAATCCTGACTGCAGCCTTTGGGTGCTAGTGTAATACAGTATAAATATTTATTATTACAGCTGATGATGATTATTATAATAATAACAATAAAAATCACCCTTGAGGCACACACTTAACACAGATTAGCCTTCAGGAGCTCTATTAAACTAAATGTGTATTCATAGTGTATTTTTTGTGTCTTTTTCCCTTCTAGTTCTGTATCTCCCAGCTTCATTCTTTTCCTATATCTTTATATCTGTACTTCCGCATTTGTCATTCTCTCTCTCTCTTTCTCTCATTTGTCTCTCACCATTCACACTTTTTCAAGGGTCTCCATTCGGGTGATTAGATATCCCAATTTTATAGAGACAGTCCCAATTTTTGGGTCTTTTTCTTATATAGGCTCCTGTTGCCCCCCACCCCATCCCGATTTTTCACATTTTCTGTCTGGTCACCCTAGTCTCCATACTCCTTCCTTTCCTTTATTTTTAGTGTGCGCTTGGGCACCATTTAAAGTAAGTAGCAAATGTATTCCTTATGTTTAATATGGTGTATACCTTCAATACCACAGTGTGGAAACTATCAAGACTTTAATGGCATTGAGTGTGCATGTGTGTACATGTATATGTATGTATTGATACATACATATCCAACTCTGCTAAGAGATCATCGTTTGGAAGAAGGAAAAGAGTGATCGATCTCTCAAGATATAGTGTGTGTGTGTCTGTACATGTGTGGGCACACATACACATACCTTTCCTTCCAGGCCCACTCCCCAAGGGATGGGGTTTTGGCTTAGTGCATGATCTTCAGGACCCTTCATCCTGCCTTCCAACCTTGGGGCTTCTGTCTCGTGGCAGGGTAGGGTGATTCAATGAGTTTGTTTGAAATGTGGTCTAATCTGGCACAAGGGGCTCTGGGGTATAAAACTCTGAGTATGACAATTCGAAAAGGTGGTCTCCACATGTGAGGGAAGTGAACTTGATGTATGTCTTAGGTGGCTGTCAAGACTTAGAAAGTGCCAATTCAGGGAGGTAACGGAACTGTAGAGGTATTTAAGAAGAATTTCAGGGTAACCTCTGATATGAAGTGCCCTAGATTTCAACCTATGCATAAGGCTGCTCCTGCTGCAGACCTGGTCATGTGAATCTACACTCTTCTGGGTCAGCTGGTTTCAGAACAGTGTGACAATCAGTGGGACAGTATAGCCAAATGTAGAACTTCCTTATGAAATAAGAGACATTTGGTGACCTTGCAAAAGTTATGTTGGTGACAAATGAAAATTTGGTCATTGTTATTCCTGTTTGCAAAAGTGAGTAGTGTTTCAGTGATGTCTCTTGTTTCTAGATCACCTCTCTTGTGACACTCCAGCTTTTAACCTTGGTTGGCCATGATGACCAGCTTGATGGACCGAAGTACAAATGTACTGTCTCTCTAGACTTCATCAGGGCTATTGCAAGGTAAGATTGTTAAATAGCATTTAATGTTGCATGCACAGACCTGTATAAAAGGTTTAGATTTCAAAACCAATTCTTTGTTTAACCATTTATACTGGCTTCCTGCAGTGCACAGTGATACGGGAGTGATACTTGTTGATCCTTTTCTCTCCATTCTTCAACTCAGTACTGAGGGGCTGTCAGCTGCAAAGCATTCAGTAATAGAGAATCTCATGGCTTGTCACAGGGTGAATGTTAGTGGTCTCTTAGAAAAGCACGCAGATTCCTTCCTTGCCAGTGGGCTGACAATGAGAGGCTATGACATTGTTAGCTACTGTCTTCATGGAAAATGTGGCAGAGCCATTTATGTGAAATCTGATATTTATGAGGAGGCCCTACCAACTACTTTGCCTCACTGTGATATTGTAAGAGTTAGTCAGTTTGAAGTTGCAAATGTTTATAAACCTGCTGATGTAGCCTGAAACACCCCATCTTGACAAACACTTCAACATCCATCCATCTGGTAGGGGCTTCAACAGTCACCACACCTCCTGGGGTATTAGAGAATCTGACAAGAATGGACGGGATCTCACAGACTGGGCTTCTATAAATGATCTATAGTTCTTTCATTTCCTTAAGCAGCCAGCCACTTTTTCTCTGCATGATGGAAGTACTGCTGTTCTACTGACCTCAAGTGGGACATCTCAACAGGGGGCTGTGACATTACACTCCATATTCTTCATAGAAATATGGATATGATATGGTATAACTAAGATATACTTTATGCAAGATGGCCCATGTGAGGTATCATTAGAAAGGTCATGATTTACTGAATGTGTTTACCCAATTTGTATGCATGTATCATTTTTGTATCTGAAGCTGGAAATATTGACCATGTCTCTGTATTTCAAATGTGCTACGTTGGATGAGGCCAGACAATGTTAGTGGCTTACTGAAGAAATGCACACAAGCATAAGGATTACCCCAGGAACTGTGTGCAATAGACACCTCTCAGAGACAGCTCGACACGGTGGGAACTGTTTGACCCAGGTCAGATAGCTCCATACAATGGGAACTGTTTGACCCAGGTCACAGCAAAAAAGGTTTCCAGCATGTGGGGGGAAGATATAAAAGAGGGACAATGACAACAGGAGAGGACCTCACTCACCCTACAACACACCTGAAATCAACTGAGGAACAAAGACCCAACTGTGGGAAGTGATGGTCCTAGGCTGGAAGGATTTTTAGCCTGTGTAAGAAAACCTGGGAAAGCCAAGGCAACTTGTGCCTTAAGAATCTGCCAGCCTGTTTATCATTCAGAGTGAGAATTTGCTAATTTGTATCCTACGTATCTAGTGTGTTAAGCTCAGTTTGCGTGTTTTGTTTCATTTGCTTAGTAATCTGCTTTGTTCTGTTTGCTATCCCTTGAACCACTTAAAATCTCCCTTTTATAGTTAGTAAAATGTATTTTGTTTATTATTAAACCCAGTTAATGCAATTTCTAACAGGAGGGGGCAAGAAGTCCTGCACATCTCTTTTCACATTGAGGAAGAGGACGGATTTTTATGAGCTTGTGCTGTGCAGATTTTTCTATACAGTGCAAGACAGCATTATCTCCCAAAAGGTGTGCACGTGAGTGCTGGGGGAGTCCTCTCACACAGAGCTGACTTCAGTCTGTGACTGCAGCGGGGTGTGGCCCTACCTGTGTGTGTGTGCTGCAAGAGGCCAGAGAGCCTAATTCAGCAAAGCAGGGAGCGGGAACCCAGGCTGGTTGAGCAAGAGAGGCTCAGTGAAATCCTAGTACATCAGGTGGCATCCCAGAAGAGGGGTCCAACTCGTCACAGGGGCCAACTGTTACCAGCCTCCTGTGGAGTTCTTGGAAACTTCCCACACAGCCAGTACCTGTCCCCTTCTGCCCCATTCTTATTCTGATAGGCGTGACAATCTCCATAATAATCACTATACCTAGATTATGGTGGAATTATAGAAGGGAAGACTGGAAAAAATTGTCAGTTGATCAATGAGTACATAGTGTGAATACCACATAATATTCTGAAGAAAATGCTTACATTTGCTTCTCAAAAGCAATCTTTGAAGCAGACACTAAATCCATCCCATGTGGCCAACAAAAGACTTATGTAGCCTGCTTAGATGTGGAATGCATAGAACTTCTGAAGCAGTGTGAAGAATCTGGTAACTTTTAGAGACAGCAAACCACTGACAACCTCTATGCCTGTTGCAGGGAATGTTGGGAATAAGTTACATCAACTACGATGTGACAAGATCTAGCAGGAAAGCACAGTCATTCAGAAGGAAGCTTGGCGCAGCACAGAAACCACTAACCACACACTAGTGGAAAGTGTCCCCCAAACAGCATCACCACACACCTAACCAATATGACAAAAGCCAACAGGGACATGCCATTTGAGGAATCAGTAAAGAGGAATGGCACCCATAAAGACTGTCTCCACCTTCATGTGAATACGACGTCTTTCAGCCTTTATCCACTGAAGATGTGAAGAGAGCACTACTGAAAGCAAGAAAAACATGTGGCCTTGACAAGATTGCACCAGTAATTCTGTTCCATCTTTGTAAGAAGAGCATAAAATGATTGTCAACAGCTATACCAAAACCAGGAAAGCACCAATCTGTTCCAGCTAGCTACCATAAGATAATCACTTCTGAGCTGTACTTACAAATTTTTGGAGCAACTAATTCCGCAAAGAATCATGCCCACAGTAGAACAGGATCTGAGTGATGAACAGGGCAAGGTTCCAGACCTAGTTCTTGCTCTTACCACCTGTACAGAAAATGGTTTTCAAAAGAAGGAAAAAAGACAAGAGGTTGTGTTTCTTGACTACTGTCTGGCACATTGGCCTGTTGATCATGATGTCAAAGATGTTACCTCAATGGGTTGTTATAGTTACGGAAATGATCTTTTGAAACAGACAATTCCAGGTGATGCTAGAAAATAAACTGAGCACATGGAGGATCCAGAAGAACAGATTCCCTCGGGGATCTGTTTTTGCCCTACCCTTTTTCAATATATTTACAGAAAGATCTACTTCCAACAATCTCAAAACCATTCAAGTATGTGGATGACATCTGCCTAGCTTCAAGAGACAGGGACTTCAAAAAGATCAAGGACAATCTGAACCAAAATATGGCAGCTATCAGTGACTACTGCAGTAATTGGAGTCTTAAATCCAGTGTGTCAAAGACGGTGTCCTCATGTTTTCACCTCAATCATGAAAATGTTTCATGAGGACTCAGCACCTTGAATGGAGAATGACTAGCACATGACCCAAAGCCAATATATCTAGGTGTAACAGAAGGTTACTCACCTTGTGCAGTAACTGAGGTTCTTCGAGATGTGGCCCCCTGTGAGTGCTCCATTTTAGGTCATTGTGCACCCTGTGCCTCTAGTCAGAGAATTTCAACAGCAATACCCAGCTAGGCCACACATTCGCTCTCCCCATCTCACGCCTATGGTGGCAGTTGATTAGCACTGTGCGGCCGCCCCACCTCTCAGTTCCTTCTCTACCGCAGAGTATTGATGAGAACTCCGAAGTGGAAGGGAGGAGGGAGGATAGTGGAGCACCCACAGGGACACACACCTTGAAGAACCTTAGTTACTGCACAAGGTGAGTAACCCTCTCTTCTTCAAGTGATGTCCCTGTGGGTGCTCCACTTTAAGTGACTGTATAGCAGTGCCCCTTGGTGGGAGGAGGGATTCGGAGTTAGTTCTGAATAAACGAGAGGATCATGTGTCCCAGCCGTGTGTCAGGTGCTTAGACCTGATCAATGATATAGTGTTGATGTTTTGCATATGTCGATAATAGGCATGTCATTCAGGAAGGCAGCGGATGTGGCTACAGATCTTGTGAAGTGTGTTCTGACCCATGAGTGGGGGGAGGGGTGTAGGTCATGTTGTCAGTAATAGAGGTAGATGCAATCTGAAATCCATCTAGAAAGTCTCTGCTTAGCAGTGGGTTTGCCTTTGGAACATTCTGTGATGGAGAGGAACAATTTAGGAGTCTTCCTGAACGACTTGGTCTGTTCAAGATAAAAGGCTAGCATTGTTCTGATGTCCAGGGTGTGGAAAATTGCCTCTTGTCTATCCTTGTGAGGTTTAGGGAAGAATGTGGGAAGATGGATAGGTTGATGAATGTGGAAGGAAGAAGGAACTTCAAGCAAATATTTAGGGTGAGGTCTGAGAGTGACCTGCCATAAGATCCCCTATTTCTCCCACATGCCTAGCGGACATGATGGCAGCTAGGAAGGCTACTTTCATAGAAAGATGTAGAAGAGAACATATGGCCAAAGGTTCGAATGGGGCGGTTGTGAGAGATCGAAGCACAAAGGTCAGGTCCCACAGGGACATTGGGGGCTCTGGGTTCTGGGTAGAGGTTGCACACTCCCTGGAGGAATCTTGATAATTGGATGAGCAAATTGGGTTATCATAAGGAGTGGTTCTAGAGTAATGCTGTTTGCCCTGTTCATTAACTGCATCGACTACCAATAAATTTGGCTGAGGGTGTGTGAATAGGAATTCAAACCCTTTTGAAGAGACGTAATATTTTTTGTCCTCCCTCTTACTTGTGGGTGGGATGGTAGCGGGGGGTCTGCAAGATGTTTGTGGCGGGTTCCATGAATGCTGTGTTAATCAGGAGGGCAATCTTGGAGGAGGCAGACATGTGGAGTATGTCCAAGAGCTCGTGACGTGACTCAAAGATCTCCTCTAGGGGTATCTGGTGTGTGTCTGCTATTCTTTTGAAGAGTTCTTGGAAATTTCTGAAATCATCTCCAGCAGTAGGCAGAGGGGGCATGATAGTCTCGTCTGGTGAGAATGAAGTGGTGGTAGCAGGAGCTGCCTCCTTATCTAAGACTAATTCTGTCTCCTCAAAGGTCAGTTCGGGAGGGGCATCTGTTGGCACTGTGAATTTTGGTGAGGAGTGCCTGTGTACCTCCATGGTGCCACTCAGGTTTGGGGCAATACTGTCTATGAGCTGCCCACGGGTCCC